GATCCTGGAAAGTCTTGGCAAGAAAGTGCGAGATCTTTGAAGATACTGGTAAGAAAATGAAAGATCCTTAAAGATCTTAACAAGAATTGTGAACATCCTCGTAGATTTCTCAAAGGTCTTCATGAGGATCCTCTGTCAGGAGGATCCTCAAACGTCCTCGTGAAGATCTTTAAAGATCCTTATGGATCCTCCAAAGATTTTCACCGGGAAAGTGTAGTTAAACGGTAAAGGTAATGGATAAATTTAAGCATATCAAATTACCCCAAACTAAGCATAATTCATAAATTAGCATAAATTGTCTCTTGAGTGGAAATATTCCATAGAAGTATAGGTGGCCCAAGGAGAACTTCTAGCGAGATGTAATGATCTTAATTTCGAACAAGTTTAGTTAAAAGGATTAGGTGATGGATAATTTTAAGCATATCAAATTACCCCGAACTTAATTGAAGGCTAATAACGTAACAAATGTCATGAATCATAAAAAGATACACTAAGTTACCTGGGGTTCCAGTTGGTTTTACTGTAGTCTGAACAACCTGCTTCGTTACGGTTATATCTCCCGTCAGACTCAAGAATCCCAGTTCTTTTTTTCCATTAGCATCCTTAAGAGCCTGAACGATGTTGTTAGCGGTTACATTTGAAGTTGTTGGAAATATCAGTTCATATTCAACCCCAACACTTCCATTGAAAAAACGCTTGTATTTGATACCTATGAAATCTGGAAATTTCGCTTGGAAAAAAGGTATCAATACAAGGTTTAAATCAGTCTTGAGGGCACGAGATTTTGCTGAGTTGATGTCACTATAGGCATTGTCATACTCTTGATCCAATTTCATTGTAGCGGAAAGTGTCTGAGTAGGCTTCTCTGTATAAAAGAGGTAAAAAATCACATCAGTATCAACATATTGAAATGGTTAAAAAAGAGAAAGATACATCGAAAACGACACATTAGAATCAAATACAAGTCAAACACCTAGAGTTTGTACTGAAGACGACAACAAGCACAAGCAGCGAGCAAAAGCAGAGTACTAAGTCCATGAAAGTGGAGAAAAAGCGTGCACTAAAACGGATCGAAGTTTTCACATTTTTCGTTGTCAAGTCACGGTGTGATTTCAGGCTGTTTTCATTCAAAGAGAGTAGAAAGGAAAAAATACATTAACTTGTCAGACAAAACGGGTAGACGTTTGTTCTGAAGATGATGCTCTGTTGACAGGGACAAGTACGGACAGGAACAGTACCGTGCAAAAGTAACGCAAACGATAGTCGCCGATTATCGCTAAAATCGCAATTTATCGACGATTTTTAATCTGTTTACAACCACTTAAAAAAAGTGGGAGAATGATTTGAAATTCTTCATGTTATTTCAATGAAACAAGATTGCAATTCTTGTCAAACTTTAATCACCGTGGCTATAAAGCATCAGAACGATATCTCAGGTTGACATCCACCTTCCTATACAATTAATCTAACGATATTTGGCTCGAGCGATACGTCGTGATGATACGCTATATGTTATAATTATCATTTATTGTATAAGGTACGGTGTTCTAAAAGGATTTCCAGCCCTAAGAAAAGCCTTAACAGCACAACTGTAGAATCATGATATCTTTTCACGTGTGTTTGATATCGTCAATCAGCTGCTGACTTGTCACTCGCCTTTAATTTCGTGCCACCATTTATGGTCGATCAATGAATGGTAAAGTGTTTCACGTTCTCAATTGAAGGTTGTTTATCACGTCATAGTAAAAAAAATAAGGAACTATTATAGTTAAGTTAGTTATTAGAACACCTGAAGACGTATCTTTTCACAATTTTCAGTTAGATAGGGGTTTTCGTCTTGTGACTGAAAGTAAAGTTGAATTCTTAAGCTTTTGCGTGGCGCAGTATTAAAATGGTGGCCAAGAATATTGCAACATGGTTAAAAAATGTGACATCCGCTGAGATTTTGAGATCTGAACAGTCTTTGCATGTGAATGAGTACTCATATAGATATTTATGGGCCCTCAAACGACGACTGAAGGCTTTTAAAGCAAAACTTGATGATAAATGTTGTTTTTTACCTTCGGGCCGCGAAAAATAACTTGACCTTACTGACGGCGTTACTTTTAACAACTGGAAGATTTCCAAATGGCCGATTTCGGCTTTGTACCCGAGCAGATTCCTTTTCTCGGTGTGTGTGGAAAAAGTTGATATCTGAGAATTTTGTGCTTTGAAAGGCAAACCCATTAATTTTTGTCGTAGTTATTCGTCTTATTTTTTAACCTTGAGCCTTATCGCCCCCGCACTTTACGATTTTTTTTCGCGGATAGTGTATCCTTTTCATTTCATTCATTAATATAGTTCACTTTTCTTGTCAGTAAACACCTATCGTGTTTATAACAAACTGAAAGATAACGTGTTGTTTGCAGATATAGAATTTCTCTTCTTGTGTTCAACTCGATGTCTCACTCGTTCGCTGCCTTCACTCGTGAGATATAATGAGTTGAGCACTCTAAGGGAAATTCCATATGTACAAGCGGTATTTCGCTGGAACGATATATCACTGGAACGAGAAGTGTCAGAGAGACACGCCCTTACCTGATAGGCAGGTTTTCCCTTCAAACGCCCGAGTACATGTACACTTGAACGTTTCACCNACAAGGTTTCGCAGAGGGTTTTTCTTTTAACGCTTTCCCTTCTGGTGCGTCCTCAAGGATGGTCTCAGATCACAGACTCCACAGAGCAAAAATAGCAATTTTCAAGCTCTTTTGGAAGTATCTCATTGTCAAGAAATGTCTCTTTTTATGGACGATTTGCTTACTTCGAACTTCCCTTTATTTAATGCGAGTCGGAGCTAGTTGACTCCCTAGTTCCTCAAATCGGCGATCCTTTGCCATGGATTACGCTATATTTGAAACAGACTAGAGGTAATGGCTAGCCTCGAATATCGAACATTGCTGACTTTGCTGGAAGTAAGTAGACAAACAGCTTTTGAATGTTATGTTAGAAGTACAGCTTAATCTCTACTGAACATGTTTCGAGTCGGAGCTAAGGAATAATCTAACTCGTATTTGTAGTATTTTAGATTTTTGTTGAAATCCCATACATTTCGTTACACGATTTCGCCGCCATTAACTTCTCAATACGCACGCGCGTCCGGCTTTTTGACCCAGATTTCTGGCAATGGAAGTAGACGTAATTTCTCCTTTTTGCCCATCGCCTTCAACTCTAAAACGTTTTCACCCACGAAAGCTAACGAAAATCATCGATGATATCCTATGATACGGCTCCACCATGAAAACACTTTAAAATGAAAGAGATGTGGGCTTAATTTAAAATTTTGAGTAATACAAGACTAGCGACACGTACAGAGAAAAGTATTTTGTCTTGAAATGATACCACTTAAATCAAATCAGATATTTCTTTGTTATATTGCAAAAGTAGCAAATAGTTCGTATCTTAAAAGTCTCATAATGAACATCTAACGACACTTACTTTCCTCACAGTTTTTTCCAAAGTAACTATCGTTACAAACACATACAAAGTCATTTACTTTGTCAGTACAAAGACCATTTCCGGAACAGCTATCGTGTGTACAGTCATCAATATCTACGACAATGAAATAAAAAGAGTAGCGATTCGCGTTGTTAATAGGGGCTGGTAATGTATAAAAAACAAAATCTAAATGCATTTCATAACTTACTTATAGAGCAGTTCCCTCCAGTAAATCCTGGAGAACACGTAGGCTTTGGCGTTGCCGTAAGAACCATTTCACTAGCAGATGGTGATGGCATAACAGCCATTTTTGTCGTCGTATCAATAGCAGACGGGGATGACACCATTTGCATCATTGATGACATATCACTTGCAGATGGGGATGGCGTCATATGCACTGTTGATGTCATGTTACTTGCAGATGTGGATGGCATCACATTCATCATTGATGTCGTGTCACTTGCAGATGGGGATGACGTCGCATGCTCCGTTGATGACATGTTACTTGTAGATGGGGATGACATCATCTGCACCATTGATGTCATGTCACTTGCAGATGCGGATGACTTTATATTCATCATTGATGACATGTTGCTTGCAGATGGGGATGACAGCGCATGCACCATTGATGTCATGCTACTTGCAGATGGGGATGGCGTCATATGCACCATTGATGTCATGTCACGTGCAGATGGAGATGCCGTCGCATGCTCCTTTGATGACATGTTACTTGCAGATGGAGATGACATTGTTGTATTTGCAAAGCCTGCCGATACAAATTTTACACTTTAATTGCATCAATATAACTTTAGCTGGGGCCACCCTTTTAACAAGTAATGTGTGAATAGCAGGGATAAAGAAAGAAAGAATCGACTTACCATCCGGTATACCAATCAGAATGCATGCAACAAGAGCAACAAATTTTCTATTCAGACGCTGAGCAATCATTATCATAACGCGGTCGACAGAGTGCTAACGGTTGTTGACGTAGATAAGCTAAATTTCTTGATTTGATAATGTTCTGCGTGATGGCTTCTGTGCAAAGAGAGAAAAAATAACTGTTAAAATGTTAACACAAGAATGTGACCTAAGAGGAAAAAAGCTATAATTTTTTTTGCGTGACCTCAATAGTTTTGTAGAATTTAAACTT